TACTATATTAATTAGTATAAAACTAAATTAAGTAGGGAAGAAATAATTATAGAAGAATTAATTATTTTTTTTAAAGTATAGGCAGTGAGCACTTTAACAGAATAGAAAAACAGAGCCTCAGTTCACTGTCTCAGTCTCTCAGTACTGAAAAACAGAGAGAGTATTGAAAAAACTGAAGAAGAGAAAAATATGGTCGCAAGTCATACCTGAGGGCTGACCAGCAGTCGTGATTCGCGAAGGAGGGTTGCTGGTTGTGCGACTTGAGAAATCTGAGTAGTGGTCTTGTGAAGCAGCGAAGGTGTGAAGTTTGCAAAAAAACCTAATGTTGGCTTTTTAATTATAAATCAGGTCTTTTTTTTTTTTTAAAAAAAAAGCGACACCTATTTGCATCGCCACGCCACAATGCCTATCACCTTTCCATCGCCATATCTCTCCTATTTGAAATTGCCTCGCCTCGCCGGAATTAGGCGATGTTGCCTCGCCAAAGGCGAGCGCCTTTAATAACACAACTTTTGAGATTCAATATTTGATCTAGTGTATCCAATTCTTCCCAAAGCCCATCCTCTCCAGTAAACTCAGTAGATATCCCCAATTGACATTATCATATAGTTTTCTCTAGGTTTTAACTTGCGTAGGATTCCTTGTTTTTTTGTTTCAGTCCAGATCCCACCACTTCATTAGCTACTAAGACAACATCCATGATTTGCCTTATTGGATGAAGGCCATTTGTGGTGAGCAAACTAGCTTTGCCATCACACCTTTCAACCTCTCTGTTATAACTTGGGAGAATATATTGTATATGCAGCCCTATCAAACTGATAGGCCTGAAGTCCCTTAGCTCATTGGCACCTTTTTTCTTTGGAATAAGAGCAATGAGTGTGGCATTGAAACTTTTTCCAAACATTTCATTATCATAAATTATTTGAAAGGCATTCATAATATCTTGCTTTACTGCCTCCCAATATTTGATAAAGAATTCCATGGTAAAGCCATTTGGTCCTGGAGCTTTGTCAACTGCACACAATTTTAAACTCCTCATCATCTATCTTCTTCCTCAAAATATCCTTGTAACCGCTGCTATTCCTCTGTTGTCAATACTGGACAGTTTTGGAAATGACAAGCAGGTCTCCAGTGTATTGTTTTTGTGTATAGTTTCTTGTAGTAATCAACTATCTTACCTTCAATTCTGTTTGCATCCCGAGTTGTCTCACCCTAAATATATAACTGATCAATGTTGTTATATCTCTTGTGAGCATAGCCCATCTTAAGGAAGAATTTTGTCTTCTTATCACCTTCTTTCAACTAGAGAGCTCTTCATCTTTGCCTCCTGACAATTTCTTCTACCAGACATCTTCGCAGCAGTCCGTCATCTTGTCCACCAGATTTTGTCAAGATTTTAATGTTACTCATCTTGCTTGTCACCTCTGCTTCACGAGATTCTTGCTTTGCCATTTACTGTCTTGTACGACTTTCATGCAAGGGTAGTTGGCTTCAGTTATTCTTGGAGGGCCTTCTGGTCCCTGTCTTTTAGGGCATTTAATGAAGTTCTCAATTTTGTGTTCTATATCCCACCAGCCTGCATTCAAAGCTGGTTCTGGTATAATAAGGACTGATCTTTCTCCCTTATTTAAGAACAAAATGCTCATATACCTCCTTTACTCATTTTGTTTCCTAGTACAGAAATGCTCTGCATCTTTTTCTGAAGTTTTCCATCTCTTGACCACTTTCATGTGATCTCTGGAAAGCATTTTTAAGCATAAAGCATATTAATTCCATGATCTTGTTGCTCATCGATGATCTTTTCATCAGTTTACGACTCCTCTCAACCCACTCATGCCACACTGAGTTGTTAGAGATCCATCTTGTTATATCAAAAGATTTAAAACCAGCGTTGAAATATATCCTATTTTCCTCATGTTTTGCAAGCAATCGTATGATTGGAGAGGGAAGAAGGAAAGATGAAGAAAGGTTATCACAGAAGGTGATGACTAAGGGGATGAAGAAGAAGAAGAAAAAGAGAGTTTTCCGGCTGGAGCTACTGGAAGAAGAAATAAGAAGGTTGTTTCTCTCTCCTAGAAAGTAGAAGAGAGGTTCTTTGGGGATGTGCTTGGAGCATTTGTTTACTAGATATTTGCTTAATACTGTATGAACAAAGAAGCATTCTGTATGGAGAAAACCTTAGTTGGTCCATTTAAGTAAGGAGATCTCTCTTCTTGAATGCCTATTATTAGAAATTCAGTATTTTGCAGGAGTGTTGTGTCCAATTAGCACTACACCGTTGATTGCATGTTGGCATAGTTCTGATGTTAGATTGTGTTGCTTTTGTGTTATAGTTACCTGATTTGTAGCATTCCCTTGCTAATCTTCTTAATATCTGCAGAAAGGATATCCCTCTGATGCTGCTGCATATAGTGATCCAAGCATCATAGCTGACAAGCTTCCCATTGTAATGCAGAAGACTCAAAAACTCAATATTGGAGTGTCCTGTAAGCAGTAGTATGAACCTAGATTGTTGTCTAAGATCTTTTTCATTTACCCGCTTTTATGGAACTTAATTTACATTCTGTTATTTATCCTCAAGCAAGTTATGAATATCACAACCTGGAGTGCTTTTGCTTTGTCCTTCATTTGAATGTTGATCTTTCCGCATTTAAGTGTGTGTCATCTGAATTTCTGGAGCGATCCGTACTGCATGCAAAAAGTGCAAGAATGTGGTTGAAGCATCAGAGAAATGGGAGTGTAATGGTAGAGAAGCGAGAATAATCCCACTTTTCTAACAATAATCAAAAGACATTTTGACCCCAAAATCTCTTATCCACTTAGAACCTTCTCACTTGAACCTCTAATAGAAGCTTTAACTGTAAAAACTCTCCATGTGAAGCTGGAATGACTATCATTGAAGTCCTAAACAGCGGACAGAAATGATATTGTGCACCTCATGTGGGCATTTACGTGGGTATTCAATATTTTCTGTGGGAAGAAATTACAGGTGATAGTGGAGAGTCAATTGGTATTCATGTTTCGCCTGATAGAGGGGACTCCTGTGCTGAGAAATGGTCAAAAATGGAACCCAGCATATGTTTTGTCATAATTCTTCCCTTAGCATAACATCTGGCAACCAAATGAATATAGTTGGTGAAGTTGCTGATAAAGAAGCAAGCTGTACACCAACAAAATAGCTCCCATCAGCAAATTACCCAATATTTTCCAAAATTACTCTATTAGAACTTTTTCAAGTGACAGATTTCAACTTTTGGACATGGGTTCCAGTTATATGAATACAAAATCCGTTAGGGGTTGACCGGTTGATGGGTTATACTATAAGATTCTTTAATTGCACCATTATTGACCCAATAGTTTGAATTCTAGTTAGAATAGATAATAGTTATCTTTCAATATATGAGCGGTTGTAAAATGGGAGTAGGGGTAACTTCTTTTAGATCTAGATAAAAGATTCACACCAAAAATTCACAGAAGTTGTGGGGGTGGGTGAGGTTACAGGGCCAATGCTAGCCCCTCTTCTGTCTGTGTTACCTCCAAATCCATTATAGGGTACTGTTGGAATAGGAGTAGAAATATTATTTGTATATAGTATCCTACTTGGAGAAGGATTGTCATGTAGTGTCTATAAATAGGGCTTAGTGTTATAATGTAAATACACAATATGATAATAATATTTTTCTCCTATATTTCTCACATGGCATTAGAGCCATCATGGAATATTATCACTGTACATTTTTTTCCGGTGACTGAATTATTCTGGCATTGTCAGACAACCAGAATATGATTTATACAGGTGTTGTGCAAAATCCGATAACAAAATCAGGTCGGGCATCTCTCCGCAACCAAACCCCAACAAGCGTCGTTGTGAACTAACGTCCCACACGCTGATCAAAAGGTGGTTACGTCCGACGAGATCTGCCGAGGCGCAGACGCGTGAGGCTTGTTCCGACCAGTTTTTTGAGCAATTCTTTTTCTTATAGGCTCGCCCAATCCTTGTGAGCCTTTCCATCAAGTTTGTTTTGGATTTAGATCACCGGAACCCTAATTCAGTGACCTCTGCCAATTTTCCTGTGCATTTGCCAATTTTTGGTAGGGTTTCACACGATTTTAGACCATAAGGTGAGTGATGCAATCGACACACTAGGCTAGATGGTATTAGAGTGAATTATCTCATAGTGACTAGACCCGACATTTCTTTTCTTGTGAGTGTTGTATGTCAGTATATGGATTCTTCCTGTGATAGCCATTGGCATACAATTCACATCTATGATATATAAAGTCCGCTCTAGGTAAAGGACTCCTTTTTCGAGGATCGAGGTCATGAGCATATCGTTGGATATACAAACGCTGATTGGGCAGGGAGCACCTTACAAACGCTGATTAGGCAGGGATCACCTTCTGATAGACGTTCTACATTTGAATATTGTGTTTTAGTAGGAGATAATTTGGTGTCCCGGAAGAGTAAGAAACTGAGTGTCTTTGCTCGATCTAGTGCAAAATCAGAATATCTAGCAATGACTGTAGCAACTTGTGAGCTAGTTTGGATTAAACAGTTGCTTAGAGATCTAAAATTTGGAGAAATCAGTCAGATGGGATTTGTGTGTGATAACCAAGAATCCCTTCATATCACATTATATCCTATATTTCATGCGAGGACTAAGCACATTGAGATTGACTGTCACTCTGTCTGTCAGAGAAAAGATTCTCTCCAGAGATATTCTAACAAAATTTGTGAAGTCGAGTGATCAACTTGTAGATATTTTCACCAAGTCCCTCATTGCTCCTCGTATTAATTATAGCTGTAGCTAGTTCGGTACATATGATTTGTATGCACCAACTTGAGGAGTGCTAGAGTAGGAATATGAATATGATTTGTATATAGTATTCTACTTGGAGAAGGATTGTTATGTAGTGTCTAACTGTCTATAAATAGGGCTCAAAGTAAGAATGTAAATATACAATTCAATAATAATACTTTTCTCCTATATTTCTCACAGGTACCGATGCTTTGTTTTGAGAGCTTAGATGTTTTAGTACTTCCTCAAAAAATCTAAGCAGAAAGTTCATTGTATTCAATAAGGGAAATAATGTTTGACAGGAACGGCTTTGAGGTGCTCAAAACTTGAAAATTGAGAAGCTACAAGTTTCATTTGTTGGTGGCTGTGAGATAGTATGTTATCAAACTTGGATTATGTCACTCAGGATTGTAAGTGCTTTACATAGAACTAATATTTGGTGCTTTAGTAAGATGTGAAATTATAGCGCTGTATCTTATATATTACATAATATGAAATTCAGATAGATGATGACCATCAGGTATCAAAGATATGTCTTCAGAATGTGTCAGTAAAGATATATAGAAGAGTATTTATGGGTACTCACATGATGTTTTTTAGTGTCAACATCTCAAAGCATTTGATAGAGAGCGCTTGTGACGTGATGCTGAATATTTTAGGTCTTATTTTGGTTGATTTGGCATTAAACTAAAGATGAATCATCCGGACATGATTTTCATTTGTGGCTGTTAGTTTTCAAAAGGTTCTACGAGAGGTGCAAGTAGTGGCTTTCTGTTTGTAATCTGCTGATGTCATGTAGCAGTAGAGCTTTAAAGTAAGTGTTAGAGAAGGCTTGCGAATATTTGCTGATTAGTAGGGGCTTAGATTTATCATTTCTGATCACCTGGGACGTGAAAGTGAAGAATCGGTCAAACTGACGTGTTGAAAGTACTAGCTTGAAGGCCAAATCGTTCTATTTTCAATTTAATATGTGATATCTTAGTCATGAACATTGTTGACCACCATCCGGAGAATAAGAAATGATGGAAGCAAACAAATAAAGTTGAGAAGCCGTTTCCTTCTCCTCCTACATCGTTTATTGAGAAGGAAATGGAATTTTTATGAAGGTTCCCCCCCATAGTTTCCATCTTCCACTAATGCTGTGAAACCAGTGTGTGTTGCTCAATGCACCCTCTCACTCCCTTGCAAATATATTATATCTTCAAACTTCATTAGTAAAGAACGTGTAAACGTAGTTGCTTTTCTTATAACTTCTAGATAAAATTTGTCCAACTTCTTGTAGCATAAACATGGCACTTTCTAGATTACAAATCATAAATAGAAAAGAAGATTATAAACAAAAGCTAGAGAACCTTCTGCTATATATTTTATGGAGATTATGGTGTTGTGCGGTTCCAGGTGCTGTAGGAACAAAAGCACTAAAGTACATTTTACACTTGTGGTTTCATATCTGGACATGAGAAAGCTTGAAATTGTTGTTATTGATCCTTACACTAGGGTCTGGGAAAAAATCCTGCTATAGGATTCTTTTGCTCTTAATTGTTGCCCAAAGTTCATCAAATAGTTCATGTACTGATGGGCTGAAGCTGTAACAGATGGGTAAATACTAAATAACGAGTTCCATGTGGGACGGGTAACAACTACAATAATAACTATGCCTCAGTTCTGAAATATTTGGGGTTGGGTTGACTATATGGATGAGGAGAACAATTACAGCTTCAGATTCAGGTCAAGCTTAGTGGGATTTGAGGTATGGTCTTTTGTTTGCTGCTGATTTAGTTGAAAACTTCCTGGCCACTTCAGATCAAATGATCTGTCCATTTGATTGGTAAGCGATGTCCTCTGATATCCTGCGCTAGCCTCGCTGAACGTAGCCGCAGTTGCTCTTGCATCTCTGCTGGATTTATGCACAAGTGAGTGGGGAATCATACCAAGTGATCTGAACATGGGGTTATTGATCGGCAAAGCCATCATTGTCATCATCCTCTGAGATTGATACTGTCTTACTGTACCTCTTTCCCTCTTGTGAGCATTCTGGTGGCCTCCTAGTGCCTGTGAACTGTAAAACTTCCTCTTGCAGAAGTTACATGAAAAAACCTTGCCTGAAGTCGGTATATGTGACTCAGATTCTTTAGATATCGAAGGCAAGTTTCTTCCTAAGCTCAAATTCAACCATTCTCCTTGATCAAGCACATAAGTGCCTTGATTGCCATCTTCAGCACCTCTCATTCCCGATCGTATTGTAATTGAGCAGAAGTTGCTTTTTTCTTCTCCCACAATTTTCACTGAAGAGCCAGCTTGAAATTTTGTGGATGTACAAAGGTGCTTTATGGAGATACTAGCCAAAAGGACTTTTAAAGGGCTCCAGACAGATAGGCAAGGAATAAAAAGAGATCACACAGGAGGTGAAGGTCAGATCAGATAGCTATGATTGATCATATCTATTTTCACTGTCCCCTCCAGCTGATGCTTGGTGTTCTAGGGGACAATGCTTAGATCATGTTACACTGCAGTCTTTGTCAAATCTAGATTCCCAACTGATATCTCTCATCTGTTGAAATAGTTCTACCTTTAATTAGGTAACTATTTAAGTAATTCTACCTAATTATGCAGAAGGTAGAATAAGATTACCCCTCCTTGATGTAGTATTAATGAATTCTTTTGATATATCTAACTTTAATTATCTTCCACTAGAGTTTTACTAAAATAAACCAGGTGGATATTTTCTTTATAAATAAGAAATAAACAAGATGGACAATCCAGTTTTGATTCCATTTTTAGTCTCATCATATTTCTACAATTTGTCGTCTTCCGTGGTTTTGCTGCTTCTATTATTCGCTGTAGCTTATAGATTTATGATCGTTTCTGGTAGCAGTTTATGACTTAGAAATCAGGCAAGCGGCTTTGTGGGTTGACACATGCCGAAAGGTAGGGTTTTTTAATGGACCCCGACTGCCTGAAGCTTTCAGTTAAGTTTTGTTATATTATCAAGAACTAGATGGTTTATAGGTTAACACTATATCCAAATGTTTCATCAAGTTGCTCAATGTGTTTTCATCATTTCCCATGCTTTTTTTTTGTGCAGTGTTAAAATTGTACACTGCAGAAACTCTCATTATCAAGTAGGTGACAAGTATTATAAAGATGGAAACCCTACTGCAAAAATTTATTTCCTGTATGAAAGAACTAGTGTATGAGAAGTTTTTGAGATGTTGGAGTGAGTGGTGGCAGTGTGTTATACTACATTGAATTAGAATGTGATTGATGTAATGTTGTGAAGTGGTAGGCCCAAAAGTTTGGCAATAATGGTAATAAAAAATAGGAAAAGGATGAGAGAGCATCTTGTGGACTACTTTGTTTAGTATTTTCTTCTGAAGGTGGAGTATCTATGTGGCTGTCTTCGTGTTGAGGTTTCTTTCCTGACATGTTGTGGCCATAGTATATGAACAGTAGAAATCCTTGTTCACCATGCGAGCAAACTTTTTCTGTCCAGTCAGCTTAAGTATTTGTGGGCAGAGTTATTCAGTATTTGTGTTGTGTAGGCGGGTAAAGCTAGAACGGGTGAAAGATAATTAGTTGAACCCCTTTGTTGGGAAATGATACCGTATATATAAGTTAAAAATTATTGTTTATACATATTCAACTCCCTTAATGAAATCTTTGGCTTTACAATTGGAAGTAGTTGATACTTGGTGGAATAGTCTAGCACTCAAGCTACATGCTGAGGCAGAAATAGAAGTTGTAGCTTTTATTACATACTGGAATGAATAACAAAATATATTCAAATTTAAAAATAATATGGACAAGTTTTTAGAGTACCACAAGTAGAAGTATCTTCAAAACAATAAAACATTAAGGGGTTGTTTGGTAGTGTATTAGGAAAAATAATACATGCATTAGCCTTGTGTATTATTAGTACCTTGTTTGGTACTCTTTTCCAACCTATGTATAACTAATGTTTGCATTAGTTACACACTCTAGCCAGTTTCTCCATGTTGGATGTATATTAGTGCATGCATTCTGAATTACAATTGTAAATCAACAGACAAAAACAAAATTATGTATCATCAAGTGAAAAAAACCTGGTACATTAATATGAACAAAATAATTTGCAACATATAAATTGTAGAAACTAACTCACGCCTAAAAAGGCTAAAACAAGCTCGGGACTTCTAAAAAATCAACCAATATCTCACCGAGGCCTGTAATCATCTCCCGAATCCAATGGAACTCTCGGAATTACAATTCGAGCATCCGAACCCCGAATGTTGATCAAAGTCTATCCAAAGGCTAAATTTTCACAATTTCACAACTTAGGACCTCAAATCTTCAAAAAGACTCGAAAACAGAAATCGACAACTCTCACTGCTCAGATTCCACATTTTGGGATGATGGAATCGACAAAATTCCATTCCGACACTCGAAACTCCAAAAGACCCCAAAAAACCCCTTCCTTAACAACTTAGCCTTTAAAACTCACGAACTTTCAAATTCTCAACTTTTAACTCAAAGTTCAAAATCAACTTTTCAAACTCAAACATAAAAGTCTTGAGATTGATATCGGGAGGGGCAAATCGATAAATTCATGAAACTTTTCAAAATGACCGTCCGAGTCATTACAAGTAGTGGGTGCTAATGATGATAGTCGTGGATAAATGAGTGGTAATTGGTCTTCATTATAATTTTTTTGCTGAATTACTTTTCAGTAATTATAAAATTGTTAAATATTAGAATAACTTGGATCTATTCAACTCTATACTAAGTTGGTTTAATCTTAAGAAAAAGAAAGAATGTATTTTTTTAATAGTTTGAGATTTCAATCATTTAAATTCAATGTCAATAAAGTGCAAACAAATAAGGCTCAAAGGAAATAATTATTTGAATAATGTCAAGCTTAAGATTTTTCAATGAAGAATTATAGAACTTTTTCTGATTAGTATTATAGAGACTATTTCAGTTCTACGTTCCCTACCAAAAATGATGTATGACATTCGTGTCTCTAGGACAATAGTAAGACCCTCCATAACATCAAATAACCAAGTGTGTCATCCTATTTGTGCACATTTCCTAATAGTATCATCAAAAAGTAAAATACAAATAAGTTCCCTACTGAAAATGATGTTTGACATCCCAAAGTGCCAAACATTATAAGACTTGTACAAGTCATCTCCAATCGTATATACGATCGTAGTATTCAGTCTAATTTTTGTGAACCTTGATTAATTCTAAAACATAACTGCCACTTTTCACCAATAACAAGTATCAGATAATTCTGTTCACCAAAATTAGAAAAGATAAAAAAAATCACTTAATAATTTTATCTCCACTAAAATTCGAACCCGAGAGCTAATGACTCCAAGGCACTACTTTATTAATTGTTTTGGATGTGTGTGGGGGGGAGTTCATCTAATCTTTCTTGTGAGCTTAGGGTCATTGGCCTAAGTTTGATTTATCCTTGGGTAAAAAGTGGACCATATTTAGGTTGGTTCCTATTTCAAAATATCCAAGCTTGTAATGTGGTCCAAAGTCTAAATTAAAGTAGCACTTAGGTTTATTCCTTGACTTGAGTGGTTAGTTACAAAAAGAATTTGCCGACTTCATTTGAAATATCATCCAGATGAGGATAACAGTATAAGAGAAGAATTGTGATGGGACTTGTCAATCAGTTGTGTCATCATATAGGTTTTAGAGCCCGTTTGAATTAAGTTTTTTTAGTCAAAAATAAAAAGTCAAATTTAAATGATTTTTTATGTTAAATAAACGGTAGGGGTGATTTATTTTTTATTTTTGACTTATTTAAGTTATTTTTAATCTTGTCAAACATTTTCTAACTTCTTTTAAGTCATTTTTGACTTATTTTAATTTATTTCTATATTTGCCAAACAGTTCCAAAAATAAAAAAACGAACTTAAAAGTAGATTTGACCAACTTTTAACTCAATTCAAACACCCTTTGAGATTGATATTTTCTCTTCTGCTAAACACTTTGGCCTGTGAATATGCGGGAAAAACAAGAATCTCCAAAGTAGAAACTTTTCATTTCTTACTTTTTCATCCGCAATGAAACTTTTCTTTTGCTTTATTTTGTATATCACTGACGTTAGTTAGTTCTGTGAGACTTCGTTTTATTTCATAATTTCGATAAATTCATATTTTGTAGACCCAAGTATGTAAGAATTGAATTTATTCTTTTCATTCACTTTTACTTATTTATTTTGAACTTACATGTTTTTTATCATAATATTTATAGTAATTAGTGTTTAGTTTACGTCTTGATAAGAGTAAAACTTGAAAAAAAATAAAAAAAAATTCTCTTGATATGCTAAAAGTATAAAAAATTTAATTTTTTTTTTTATTGTAGTGAACTAATAAAAATGAATATATGACCCAACTATTGTTTAATAAAGGTTTTTCAACTTACTGGCTTCGACTAAGATTTTGTGCTATAGCTTTAAAGGAAAACACGCAATATCGAGTTTGACAAAAGGGATAGAGGAAATATATGTGCTGGTTTTGTGGGCGTAAATTAATTGAAATATATAGGTGGAATATATTAACAACCCCTTTAAGATTTGTCAATATAGTTCATTTAGACACTCAAATTATGATATGTTCTATGAAGCATTTAAATATATAATGAAATATTTTTATTCAATAATTTTAGTTTAAACTTTGAAAAACCTTCTACACATATTGTCAGACACTCATTATACGAATAAGTTAATAATTTAAAATATATCACCTCCTTTAATGATACACATTTACGCTCAACAAATCGTACAACCTCAAATCTATTCGAATTGAGTGAACAAAACGTCTAAAGAAAATTCATCATTTGTCAGGTTGCTCAATCACTTAATTGAAATAGTCTTTAATATATAACAAATGGTGTTTATTTTAACTCTTTATCCTAAGCCTAACAGATTTATTTTTAAAAAATATTAAATTTAACTGTGGATCCCACTTGGCTAACAAAATCTACCAATATCGTTTTCTTTGTTAGCTTAAAGAAAAACTTCATGAAATCTAACATCATTGTCTTTACTTTTTCTAACAAAATTTACTATTTTCTCTTGCTTAAACAAAAATGGATATTAGGTCGATGGAGTGGAGTAGTATTTTAAGAAATAAAAAATAAGAAATTATGTTAGAGAAAATGGTTTTAGAATTTACATAGCTTTTATGAAACATTAAGGACCAAATGTATGGTTTGACTTTTAGTAAATTAACGTATAACAAAAGGTATGTGAATGTCACTGTTATGAAACTAAAAAGTTTAAAGGTATGTCAATGTATTTCGCCAAAAAATATTATTCTCATCCCAGTGTGTTCGTGCCAATGGTCGGTACATATTATTCTCATTCCATATATATATATATATATATAATCATTTCAAATTAATTCATCCGTTCACTTTTAGTTGTCATGATTTCCTTTTTTAGAGTCAAATGATAAGAACTTTGACTAGCATTTTACGATATATTTTTTCATCATATTGACATGCAAAAAATTGCACTTTATAGTACTTTCCATATAGTTTTTGAATATCTAAATTTTTTTGTTCAAAATATCAAATTAATCTAATTTAACTTTGAAAATTAGTCAAATTAAATTTCGAAAAGTGCAACATGACAACTAAAAATGGACGAAGAGAATAATATTTAATGATTTAAGGCAAACATTTGATTAATGCCTCGATAGATAAAATGTTGAATCAAATATGTGGTGGTGTTGGTATATTTTATTAGTGGTTTGTTTTTCCATTGTTGGATAAAGAGGAAAGAGGAGATAATGATAGCAATATATAGGTTGGATGTACTTGTACAACTTTTTGGACATTTAATTTCTATTGAATCTGAGGATAAGTGGAAGGTCAACCATGCCAAAATTCAGTAAAATATCGATTGCATGCACAAAACCAGCATAATTTTTAGAAAGGTACAATAGTTGAAAGGGCATCATATGGACCACTTTTAGGGGAAATGCAAAAGGTTCTTTGCATTAGCATCAAGCCATCAACAATTACATACAAACAACCATTTGTGAAGCCGGCCCAGCCGCGAGAAATCAAAAGATCTTTGTCGGTGTTGACTTGGATTCAGAATTTTCACTCATTAACTATGTCTATTTCTCTATCTTCTACTAATGGTAAACACCATAGGTTTAAAACTTGACATACAAAATAAGAAGCACACCTCAACAATACAATAGGTTACTAAAGCAATCGTTATAATTGTAACTTTATATGTTTTGAAATTTATCAATCTATTAATAAAGTCAAAAGCTCGATGAATCTTTGCATTTCTTAATCTCTTTTTCATAAAATTTGTATAACATCAAATAAATAATTTTAATTATTTTACATAACCATGTATTGAAAATTAAATTTGTAGTCACTGTAATAAGTTAATACTTGAAAAAATAATGTTAGCAAACATTAACTTAAACAAGTATTGACACATAAAATTCAAAATATTTTTATTTAAATATCTTCTAAGTTGTAAGTAGTAACTTTTAACAAGTATTGACACATAAAA